TCCCTTGTCAGATGCCCTTGAGATTTCAAGGTCCTAAAAAGGGGCCTCCCTGCCTGTGCCATTACCAGGTAAGCAGAGAGTCTTGACCTCTTGTGTACTCTTTGACAATCCCTCAAAATACATAGTGAATGGCAGCAAGGTGGATGTCAGGACCCCTCTCCCAGGCCACAGGATGCTGACCTGCAGACTGTGTACCTGACAAGACAGCAAGTCTAATAAAGTGGCTCAGAGTCAAGATGGCATGTTGTCATTTGTGAGTTCTGCAACTTTGAGAAAACTGTTTAATTGTTCTGTCTTATTTGCAAAATGGGGGATAATAACTTCACCTCACTGTTAAAGACTGAATGTTTATGTCCTCCCCAAATTCATATGGTAAAATCCTGATCCCCCAAGTGATGATATTAAAAAGTGGGGTCTTTGGGAGGTGACTAGGTCATGAGGGTGGAGCCCTTGTGGGATTACTACCCTTATAAAAGGGACCCCTGCTGCTCTCTCCTTTTGGCCGTGTGAAGATACACGGAGAAGTTGACAGTTTGCATGGAAAAGACCCTCACCAGAACACGACTATATTGGTACCCTGATCTCAGACCTCAACCTCCAGAACTGTGAGAATAGATTTATGTTGTTTATAAGCCACCCAGTCTATGGTGCTTTGTTGTAGTAACCCAAACTGACCAAGATACCCACCAGGACATTGCAGATTGTGTCATCATGCTTGTCAAGCTCCTAACTTAACCCATGGAGGATAACCATTACTGTGACTCCTATTAGACCAGCATGGTTTCATGAAAGGAGCACAGGCTTTGACCTTGAGGACCCATGTTCAAAGCTCACTTCACCACTTAGCTGTGTGACAAAGGGTGTCACTTAACCTGCCTAAGCATCAGTCTTCATATCTGCAAATGGGGCTTCTGATACCTACTTCCAAATGTGGCTCTATAAGGAGTAATGACCATGCATAGAGTGAATGCAGTAGCCAACAGCAGTCAGGCAGGTAGCAAGAGTGAGTGAAACAGGCTGAATGTTACCAGCTGGAGAGAAGCCAAGCAGGGCAACTGTGATTCAACACCAGGCAACTGTTACCATCCAGCAATTCAGAAGTGTGAGGCTCTTGTGTGATCTGATTTTTTAAGAAAAATAAGATACTTCAATTTTTATAGGAAATTCATCAGTTTTCAAGTGCTGGCAAATAATAAGAAACTTTTGAGTTAATGATGAAATGAGTTAACACTTTGGGAAGTGTTGAGAAGGCATGATTGGTTTGCAACTGTGAAAAGACATGCAATTTGTGTGGGGCTGGGAGGGGCAGAGTGATATGTTTTGGCTGTGAGTCCCCACTCAAATCTCATCTCGAATTGTAGCTCCCATAATTCCCATGTGTTGATGGCAGGACCTGGTGGGAAGTGATTGGATTATGGCAGTGGCTTCCTCCATGCTGTTCTTGTGATAGTGAGTGAGCTCTCACAAGATACGATGGTTTTATAAGGAGCTCTTCCCCCTTTGCTCACTCACTCTCTCTTGTCTGCCACCATATAAGACATGCCTTTGTTTCTCTCTCACCTTCCGCCATGATTGTAAATTTCCTGAGACCTCCACAGCCATGAGGAACTGTGAATCAATTAGACCTACGTCCTTCATAAATTCCCCAGTCTCAAGTATGTCTTTGTAGCAGTCTGAGAATGGACTAATACAATGGTAAAAAGTGGTTTCATGATTTCTTGCTTGGGATTTTTTCATTAATTCTATCCCAGCAACATGTATGATAGAGGTTAGATATTAAGAATACAGATTACAATGATTAAACCTCTCAGAGTCAAAGAAGTCTAATGGGACAGTGAGGGGTATTTGACAACAACAGAAATTTGAAAGGAAATGCTGGAATGAAGCAAGAATCAGGTGTTTTTGGAACCCAGAGGGGGCAATCAAGCCTAACCAGAGGTGGGAAAAATGTCTCAGAGGACATGAGAATCAAGCAGAGTTTTTAAAGATGAGTAGCTTTGGTTACATAAGAAGGTGGAGAATGGCATTCTAAGAGGATAAATATTTAAATACACACGAGGCATAAACATTTGGTGTATTCAGAAAATAGGAATCTAGGGTAGAGAGTTAATCAGGTCTAAGTGGGAAGGGAGTAAAAATAAAACTGTAAGTTAAGCTGAGGCCAGGTTGTAAATTGCCTTGGCTGTTGTAGATGGTTTTTTCCCAAAAGTGATGGCTATCAGTTTCTTCCCTCCTGGTATGCACATGCCATTTACCCATCACAAGTGTAGTCTGTCCATCAGTGCCTTGAATCTGGGCTGACTTGTGGCTGCTTTGGTGGATAGCATGCAGAAGAGGTGCTTTAGTGCCAGTTCTAGGTGCTGGCAATTTCTATTCCCTATGTTTTGGGATGCTGTCTCTTGCAACACCCCTTCTTAGAACTCAAACATTATACTATGATAACCTTATAGAGAGGCTATCAAAATGCACTTCAACAGTCAACAGCACTGGTTAAGCTCCTACCCAATAGCTAGCATAGTGAGGGCACCATCTACAATGTCCAGCCTAGTCAAGGCTCTGATGACCTCTCCCCCAGCTGGCATCTGACACTGTAAGGTGTAAATCACCTGGCAAAGAGCAGTGAACTCTCAGAAGGGTAACTGATAATAATCAAGTGTTCTCTTGAGTTAATAAGTTTTGGATTGTTATACTATGCAACAACAAATAACTGGAATAGGTGTTAGATAAATTGTTCTATGCATCATCTGTAATGATTGTGCAACAGTTTGAATGTGTCCCCCAAATTTCATGTATTGAAAACTGAACTCCCAAGTTTATGTGTTGATGGTATCTTGAGGTGGGGACATTGGGAGGTAATTAGTGTTAAATAAGGTCATCAGGGTGGAGTCCCTATGTTGAAACTGGTGGCTTTATAAGAAGAGAAAAAGTGATCTGAGCTGGCAAGCTTTTGCCCTCTTGCCATGTGATGCCCTCCACCATGTCACAATGCAGGAAGAAGCCCCTCACCAAATGCTTGTACCATGCAATTGGACTTCCCAGCCTCCAGAACTGTGAGCTAAATAAACTTATTTTATTTACAAATAACTCATTCTGTGGTATTCTGATATAACAGAAAACAGACTGATATTGTATATGTAAATGACTTTAATGAATTGATAAAAGAAAACCTAAAATGGTGAGGTGAGGGTGAGGGATGCACTGAAAGTTATCTTAAAAGCACACAAGTGGGAAAGCAATAAAGTATCTGTTTCCCTATGTTTTCATTAGTTCTGTTGCTATTACAGCACATATATTTTAAAAAGTGAGAATGTTCTAGGAAGGCAATGTAATATTCTAGGAAAAAAACAAAACAAAACAAGGCTTTGTAGTCAAGAAAGATCCAGATTAAAATCCCAACTGTGACATTCCTGATATAGGAGACCAGGGACAACTTACTTAATGGAGTAAGCAAATTTGTGCCTACATAGATGTCCTTTATGAAGCCAGAACACCCGTCCCAAGATAGTGTCACTGTTGCATCTAGTTGGTTTCTTCTCTGTAGAATGCCCCTTGGTTAATGAAGCCATCTTGCTCTGAAGGTCACAAATCCCTCTTACACCTGGGGATGGTTCCCAATCAATGAAGTGTTGATATTGATACAGGTGCGGAAAGGCTGGACTGTAGCACAAGCAGGGATAACTCTTCAGTGAGGTCTACAAAGCCCTCACCTTGTGGATCAGGCCCAGGAAGCTGACTGTGGAGGCCCATAGCTTTCCTTAGTTCTTTCTCCTTCCCTATCCTGCTTCTCCCACTCTCATGTATATATATATATTTTTTCCTGTAGAGCATTCCCTTAATAAACCTCATGTCCCTGAATCCCAGCTTTAGGCTCTGCTTCTAGAGATCTCAACCTAAGACGCTTAACCTTTCTTTAGCTTCCCCCTTTCAAATCCCCTTCCCAGAATTCACGGAGATGATAAATTGAAATTGCCTGGCACTTAATAAACACTCAATAAATAATACCAGATTTCCTCTCTCATCTTTATCATTAGCACAAAGTGAAAAATATGAATAATGTTCTTTAAACATAAAAGATACTCCAGTGAATTTTCCTTACTCTGTCTAGAAAAATAGGCAAGTGAGACATTGATTTTCAAAATGGTAATAATCATGCTCATGCTATGGAGTTATCACGAGGATTAATTGAAATAATGAGCCTTAAGTAGAGTGCAGAGCAAGCACTCAGTGACTGGAAGCTACTGCCTTTCTACTTGACTACAACCTCCAAGAACACCATTCAGTCTATCTTTTCATGTTGTATCCTTGGCTAGCACAGGGCTCAGCATAGAGAAGGCATTTCTGTGTTTGCTCAAGTAGCTGCAGTAAGCAAGGAAAGAAACAATGCTTTATAAAAGATGGCACAGGTTGTAGGACAGTTCTTCTGTGGCCTCAAACTGACCCAATTCTCTCCTTTTTCTTGCTCTTTGTTCTCAAGAATAACTGTAGCATGAGCTGGGAATGAAACATCCTGAGATAAGGGGTGACTGGCTGAAATAGCCTGAGCTCTGGTCCCAACCCATCCCCTCATAGAAACAGGATGCCCTTCAGTGCTTTAGTCCAGCATGTCACATGACCTCAGGGTATAAAACCCAGGTCCGGCTGCTTTCCAGGGTCCCTCAGCTGTGGTGCAAATGGGGCCTTGCACCACAGCTGAGACTCCGTCTGCCCTGGGCAGCTTTTCTGAGCCTTGGGGACTATGTCCCATGATTCCTAGGCTTCTGTTGTTTCTTGCTGCCTGTCTGTAAGTAATAAACCTGCTCCGTGTAATTTGTTGCACATGAGTGTCTTCTGGCTCACTGGACTCAGACGAATTGGTAGCCAGCGCACAGTGAACTTACTTCACACAGGTTTTATGGTTCCACTTCATTTGGAGTCTGGACCATGAATCTAAGCTCAATACTTCTCATAATTGTGAGCAGATTGCTACACACGTACTCACACAAATAGCCAGATTCACTTGCTTTGGTCATTAACACAGTTTATTATTGGCACACTTATCAGTAAAGCATACATAAAATACAGCTGTTTTTAACACACGGAGCCACTGTGTCTTTACATGTGTGGGGGAACATATTAATATGCAAATGGAAAAATTAGTTCTCTTATAAAGTTTCACATAAATACACTGGAGTTGCCCAAAAACGAAAAGTCCCCATAAAAGAACCAGGTGAGAGCTTTACAAAATATCATACAAGAAATATACTATAAAAAGAAAGGATGGTCAACTCAGGTACAATTTAAAAACACACAAAAGTTTCAGGTTTATTAAACTTCCCACAAAACCAATGGATTACATGGCTTGAAAATATTTGGATCAACAGCAACTTTACAAATGCATAAATTCTTAAGGGTCCAATTGTCTTTCTTTACTTAAAAATCTGCCCTGGTGTCTTCGATGAAAAAAATGACATTTCTTGTTTCAGCACTTGGGCTAAATTGAGTCGACTCAAGACTTAAGAACCAATTGACATCAGCTCGACCATAAATTACCTTGCTGGGCCCTCTTAGCTGTTGCCCAATGAAAGAAAACATAAAGAAAAAAAAATAAAGGTACGTTTAAATTACTTTCCAAAGCTGATTTTTTTGTCTTTTCTTTTTTTACTGAAACAAGAAACTCTCAGATGCAAGTCAAAAAGCAGAAAATATTTTACAATATTAAAAAGTCATCTGTAGTTAGGTTCGGCATATTAATGAGATCCTGAGCACTGAGCATTTATGGACAATATGGCCTTCGTTTGATGCATAAAAAGGAAATTCAACACAAACACGTTGTTAAAACCGTGCCAGAAGATGCGCTAGAGTTTTCTCTCGTTTTAATTACAATCAGTGCCAGTATCTGTATTACCTGTGAAGGCCTCCAAGGAAGGGTCATGGAAGCTTATTTGGAATAATCCTCTCAATTAGAAAAAAAGAAAGAAGAAAGAAAATCAGATCATTGTGGTTTCGAAATAGATATTTGCATGGAAAAGTTTTTATCTCTTCTGTTTCCTCTCCTGTAAGTAAAGATCTGCAATCGTAATGATCACCCACGGGCCTATTGACAGTGGATTCTGGTGCGGATAATCTTATTGGGAAGCCTGGGGTGGGGGGTTTTCTGATTTGGTCTCTTGAGTGGCGGGAGGTTTACTGTTCCACGGGCTGTTGTTCCCCAGCGCGGGTGAATTGTTGAAGTCCTCCTCGTCGTCCATGCCGTTGGCCGCATCATATTGCGTGTTTTCTAATCTAGTGATTAGCCTTTCGTCCTCGTCCCCAAACTCACCTCCCATCAGAGTTGGCTCTCCTACCACCATCACATCCTGTGAACAGCAGCTGACATTATTACAGGGAAACCTTGGGAGAGAGAAGCTCAGCTTAAAATAACAGTGGGAGGAGTCGGGGAATCTAGGACAGACACACTCGTGTACTGTACAACGGGGTCAAGTCTCAATGTCGGGGGCCGAGACGCATATTTGATTTCTACAGGAAATAAACATCGCCTCCTGATGTGTAACAACCACGCGAGTTTATGTCCTTAGTGCGCAGCCTGACACTGGAGAACGAGCAATGCTAGCAATCTGCAGAAATAAAAAAATGTATTTTTCAAAATTAAAAAAATCCATGCTTTCAACTTGCCGACATTGGGGACTTTTGAGAGGACTGTGGAACCTTCTGCTGGGTGCTTCTCAATACCTCAAAAAATCTTCCACTTTTATTTAGGGCCTGTGAGTGGCTTTGGAAACTAGCAGTGACCAGAGACACACATAAGGTGCAATTCTGCAATATTCACATAACTCATTCCAAACGGTATTTTCTCTGTCCCAGGGATGATATACATTTTAATTGAAGACAGAATCTCTCTTTTCTCTACTCAGCCAGGCCCTTTTATGCAGCCAATATCCTTGACATTCTGCTACTTAATTATGGTAATTAATTTAGGTAAAGTTTTCGATAAAAACAATGTTCACACTGATTTGACAATTTGCATAGCTAATTAAGTCATTAGCAAAAACCTGCTGATTGCCAACAAGCCCTGAATTTACCATCTGTTATTTCATGGTGCCTGTCACCTATCACCACAAAGGCAACCCTGCCACCCATCTGGGCAGTAAAGAGAACCAGTCTGTCCAGCTGGTGCCATAAAAGGAAGATGAAGAACGCTAATTATAATTACATTGATGAAGCTGGTAGTCATCAGAGATGGAAGCGTGTAAGAAGAATCCATCTAATCACTCTTTTAAGTACAAATTGTCCTTCCATGCAAATAAGTAAGCCACCTACTGTAGCTGGGAGCATGGGGAGGCCACAGCTGGAGAGGCCCAGGGATGGGGAAGAAGAATGCACACATGGGGCAGAGCTCCAGCTTCTTTGCTCAAAGGGGACTATATGGGGTTGATGAATGACCTTGGCATGGGACAGGACATCTGTCAGGTGGATTCTTCTGGGCAGGCTCTGAGCAATACTCCACTCAAAAGTGCAGTAACTTCAGGAAAGTGACCAACTGTGATCAGCCTCCACTGAGGCCAGAGAAAGTAGGGCTAGCCAGATGCTTTCGGAGATGAGAGGGTGGGGTTTCCAGTAGAAAGGCTAATTCAATAAAATGTTTCAACAACTGTGCAAAAATTCTTTTTACTAGAGCTTTGCCCAGAGAAGGTTTTCCTGGGGCAGTAGAATGGAATACTGCCTACCGTCGGGAGAAGGGCCAGTGGGATCTCTAAATCCCTTCTAGAATTTTCAAAGTGCCCATTGAACAAATCCCTTAGTTATCCCCTAGTCTTTTACAATGGAAAACCTTGTTTTATCTATTTCTGCTCCCCACCATTCTTGAGTTAGAGGAGATAATTAATAGGTTTCCAAACTATGTTTTCTGACTAATCATTCTTGTGAATAGATAAAAATGATTTTAAAAAGAAATGTCCCAAATGGAGTAAGTGACTAAAATGTGAGCTTGGTAAACCCAGCAATAAAAATGCCAGGGGATATTCAGCTCTGTGCTTCCAAGATTTATTTATTTATTACGCAATGAAGAACCAGAAATGACAGTGACATGGAAGGAGACTCATGAAGACTGTTAAGGTGAGATACAAAGTAGATACTGTCCTGACTGGCAGAAAGGATGACAGGATTTTAGATGGAATATGGCCACCGCAGAGACGTGAATGGTATTTGGTTAGCTGGGCAGCTGCAATGTTACCTGCTGGGGGGTGTTCAGGATAAAAGAGTGCCACTGAGTTATAGGCAATTAGGAGATGACACTTAACGATCAAGAACAAAGGGAGATGGAAAAATAGGGCTAGGTTGTACAGAGCATGACACGAGGGTTAATCTCATTTCATGACTTGTGTCCAGCACACTTGAAGGGCTTGGAAAACACATGCATAAGGCATTGCAGGGCAGGAGAAGGATGTTAGAACCAACCACATGGGTCTGCATTAGTATTGTGACTCCAAAGTCATCGAGAGAGGATGGGAGAGTATGAGGAAGCATAATTTGAAAGAGGAGGAGGAAAATAAAAAGCAGCCAACTTAAGCATGATATTAAAAGAAAAGCTCCCAACACTCCAAATGCATTCATTGAATTAGAAAACAACAGTCATTCAAGGAAAGTACTATGAACATAATGGTTTGAATCATTTCCAATGGAGCTGACAGGCTTGTAATCTGTTTGTTGAATCTTTGTTCTAGGAGCAACTGGAAAAGACGTCTAGGCATAGGTGTTTTTAAATGTACTAAATTTCAAAGGGATGTCACACATGGTTTACTAATTATATAAAAAATCCCTAGCTAGATATGTAGTTGTGTGTGTGTGTGTGTGTGTGTGTATGTGTGTGTATGTGCGTGTATGTGCCTGTGTGTACATAATTGACAAATGGCAAGTTAAGGGCTTCATATGCACATAGACAGTTAAGGCCACATAAATTTATGTGCACATTTCTATTGGTTCTTCTAAGCCTCTAGACTAGGATAGTGATTATCTGCTCTGGTAGTCTGGATTTGTCATTCTCACACAAAATAAATAAAGCATGATGTGCATTCTAGGCTGCCTCTACTTAGGGGTTGTTAGCAACATTTCTCCCCATTTTGTTAAAAATCCCCCCAACATTGGCAGTGAGAGTACATTTCCTTCCCATCTCTATCCTGTGTGTCCACGAGAGGCAACAGCAAGCCATCTGAGAGAGGTCCATACGCCCTCAGATCCCCACAAGGCCAACTTCTGCTCCTCGCTGGAAGCCCAGAGGCGCCACCAGCTCTCACCCACTTCACATCTTCTCACTAATCCCCCGTGCAAAGACCACCAACCTCTGAGGAGGACTGGAAGTGACTCCTTTCAGGGCCCCTCAATGCTTCTCCTTAAATTGGCCAGAAGGGGTCACTGCTGTTGAATGACACAGGTCTCCATCCCTCCCAGGGTTGAGGCTGCAGTTCGGGATCGCTCCTAGCCCCTGCTCATGGAGTGAGAAGCAGAATCCAAGGATTAAACCCTAGCCCTCGCCAGACACACACATCGCTGCCGCAGCAGCTACACAGACCACATCTGTGGTCATAGTGGCACATGCCTTTGGACCAGACAGTGGATGCCTGCAGGTAGCATCTCTAGTTAACCAGTAGAATAGTGTTGATAACTCAGTAGACAGGGTTAAAAGATGTGGTCACCACAAGTCATCCAACGCTTATCATTTAATGTCTATTCAACTCCAGGACACATATGAATTTGTACGTTTTCCTAATCTAGTTGTCCTTTCTGTCTCTCTGTGACATCTGACAATTTTACTTTATTAAAACATCTTTAACTGCATGGTGTGGAGATAGTGTTGAAATTCAACTCTCACTTCCTAACGGTGCCTTGCTTTTAATCACACAAAATCCAAAGGGTCTCAACATGTTAAAAACCCTCTGGATACAGGCAACCTCCAGTAAAATACAGTTGTTGATTTGGAAGACAGGAGCATAACAGAGTACAGAAGCTATATCCTTTTTCAAATGAAATTGAAATGATTCTGACTAGTCCATATGTGCCAAAATATATGACACGTAAGCTGCTACTCTCAACTTCTACAACCATGTCAGATATCACTAATGGATGGCCCACCAAACCCAGACTACACCTTAGAATCCTCCTCAATACCATACTCTGAGGGCTGGCAGGAGAGAGAAAATGTCCTTGCCATCCCTAGATTAGACGGTGAGCTCTTTGATGACAGGGCTTTGTTGTTGTTGTTTTTCACCTTGGTATTGCTGCTACCTGGCACAGTGTGGGCACATAGTAGAAGCTGAGAAAACATCTGTTAAACTGATTGGGATTCTTGCAGCTACAGTGCCTTTAAGTAGCTATGTCACCATTCCAGAATCCTCTGAGATGCACTTTTTTCCTATTTGCTAGAGGAAACTAACGAATGTTACTGCCTTTAACTCCAGGATTGGATAGATAAATGGGCTCCTGTGTATACTTTTTCAGCTGATTTATCTAAATCAGGCCATTTTCTCTATTCAAAATTTCACCAGGAGTGGGTATAACTTGATACTTTTTTAATAAAGAGACTCGGGTTTTCCTCTTTTAGCTTTTCCCCCTGAGCTTCAGAGGTAATAGGTGTAAAGCCTAGCTCACAAAGTGGAGGACCACCTGGAGACTGTTTTCATTATTTGAAGACTGCAATTTGTAACTTTGTAAAATGTAACATGGTACCTTCCATTTTAGGCTGGTCATTCTCCCCATGCCCCCTTCTTTCTAATGCAATGGGAATGAAAAGTATACCCCCTGTCTGTGGGAGACAGGAGAAGAGAAACAATAGCCCAAGGGATCCTCAGGGTACTGATGGGGTTGGTTTTGGCCAAAGAGAACTGACCAATGGAAAGTAGGTACAAGTGGGTGGGGGCAGATTTGAAATACACACTTGGAAGTAAGTGAGGAATCCCTGTGCAAAGGTCCACTCCCACATGGAAGCGATGGAACAGGATCAGAACAATAAGGGTAAGGATGAGAGCAAGAAGGGTGAGGGGGAAAAACGTGGGAAAGACGGAAAAGGTAAAATTGTACTAGTTGAGGGATGTAACAAGAAATAGGGCATCTTTGGAAAACAGAGTATCTAAAAGGTATCCACGAAGCACTGAGAAAATCTCAGGATTTGAATGATGGCCAAACACCTGGTGACAGGGAGGTATGACAGGGACAGCAGAGAAGGAACAGAAGCAGTTTAAAGGAGCTAAGGACTTAAAGGAGATAGTCTAATAAGGGGCTGGGGAGTTAGGAGATGGGAGGGATTTAGGCAGAAGGGACAGAATTCATGAAGAATGAATAAGAGATGAAGAGAGTTCCTGTGCAGTTTTCACTATATGGGACTACCCTCAGCTGTCAGCTTTGTAATTCAAAGAAGTCCCCTTCCTAATGGCCTTTGTCAAGATCAAGAAATGAAAGAAAGGGGCCAAGGGTTCGAGAGAGTTGAGACCAAACCAGAGGCTGATCTTCCCCCTTAACTAATGAAAAGGGCTAAGAGAGAGCTTCACTGAGCTGCATTTTTAGTGGCTGCCGGTTAATTACCTGAGTCTTAAAATAAGAGAGGACGCCCATGTTGGGGAAGGCCCAGTCGAATTACAATATGGGACTGAGCCGCTGGGAGCTAGTTTCCAGTGGAGCACAGGGTCTCCAATGATGGTGCTGAGAGGCCCTAATATGCCACCAGGCATGCTGCTAAGTGATATTTTAATTAAACCTTAAGTGACATATCTCCTGTCTGTGACTCTGATGGCTTTTTAATTCAGGTCCCATTGCAGCACGACTCTTAATATTCCTTTCTAATTCCCAGTTTGCAGGGGAAGGTTTCCATGGCAGAGTTCCTCCCTCCCATCCCAACCTCTGTCCCTGTCTTTCCTCCCTCCCCCACCTCCAATCTGCCCAGGATTTTTTTTTTTTCAGTGAAAAGAAACTTTAATTTGGGCCCTCTAAGTAGGAAGCAGGCGGTTAGGATTTCGGGCCTAAGAGGAAAGCGAGACTTACAGGTACCTGACTGGACAGACTCAGGTTTGCGGCTGTGGTCTTCTTCTTGCTGCCAGTGCTGTTTGCATTGTTCCCAGCGCTACTGTTGGAAGTGCTGCTGGTGGAATTTTTCCTTTTTCTCCGTTTGGTTGTTGGTTGCCTTGTGGGTTCTGCTGCAATATGGAAAAGGGAAGAGGGATCAGTTCTAGGGCAAAAGCAACAAGGCAATCGTCAGTATGGTTCCCCTAAGGAAGCTGTCTTTGTAAACTTAAGAGTAGAATATTTAAACCATTTTCCATTTCTTATAGCTTTAGAAAGAATAAAAGGAGGAAACTGTAGATGTATTTTTAGCACAAAATATGTGTCACTCTTTTCTTTGTATGTAGATCAAATAATTTTTATTTAATTGTTCTAATGATATATATTTAATTTTGTAAAAACATTTTTTAGGGGTATAACTACAAGTACCACTTTCTTAATTGGATTTAAAATATTTTGCCATTAGAAAATTTGGGGAACTTTTTTCCTCTGGTGTATCTTCTCTTTAAAACAAAGAGAGGACTCCTGGGATCTCTAGGGTACCTCCAAGGTAAGAGTGAAGTAGGAACTTTAGATAGCCAAATTCGTGAGCAAGTGTGCAACAGCAGCATCTACTGGTAAAATGTTATATTGCAGCCCACCTCTATTACACCTTTATAGAATTCTCAAGTAAAGTCAGTTCCATCAGCTGTGGATGTGGAGCTTAGGGATTCCCAAGTTCAGAAGGAATACCCATGGTTTGGGCCCTGCTGTCTAATGAATGCTATTCCAAAATTGCAAGAAAAAAATATGTCTGAGTATATGGTATAGCCAGTATATTACCGAGGGGAAACTAGACCTCTTAAAGAAAGGCCTATTCAAAAATAGAGAAAAATATTTTGGACTTGAAGGATGGGGCAACATTTTAATGGAAATATAGAGACCCAAGGTAAAGTGTGGTAAGATAAATATTCTTTATTTATTTGTTTGTTACTTATAAGGTATAGAACATTATGCAATGCCTGTCACTATTCTTAATGTTTCCAATGCACTATTTTATATTTTAAAAATCCTATTATTTAGGAACTATTATTTTAATCTTTGTTTCATAAATGAGAAAGTTTCAGAAGCCTTCTCCTGCCAGTTACTGAATAAGTTGGAAATGGCAAGTAAGAGCATCCTTTTTGCTAACTCTATTTTAGACCTGACTGTGATGGAGAGAAGGCAACTCAGGGCCACACTGGAACCAAATAAGAGGGCCTTGTAAAATTTTCTTAAAACACCTATGCTGGCTGGGTGCCATGGCTCATGCTTATAATCCTAGCATTTTGGGAGGACGAGGCTAGTGAATTGTTTGAGCCCAGGAATTCGAGACCAACTTGGGCAACATGGTGAAACCCCATCTGCACAAAATACATACAAATTAGCCAGGTGTGATAATAGGCACCAGGGATCCCAGATACTCTTGAGGCTGAGGTGTGAGAATCACCTGAGCCTGGAAGTTGAGGCTGCAATAAGCTATGATTGTGCCACTGCAGTCCAGCCTGGGTGACAGAGCAAGACCGTGTCTCAAAAACAAAGCAAAGCAAGACAAAATAAAACAAAAACAAACAAAAAAACCCACCTATGCCACTTCTGATGGACAATGGGAAGGATCTTCTTCTAAGGCTCATTTCAAAGACCACTTAGTCCAAAGAGTATCCCTGACTTCTGACTTTTGACTTTTCTACTTATCTACTATTTTTTTTGTCATTTGTAAATATTTTGTCTTTTATGCTTAAAGATTTTCATCAAATGGTCTATCATTTTCCTCCATCGAGTTCTGGGTGCTTGTTCTGAAGGATGAGAGGAACAGGATATAGAACTGTTCCAGGTCATGGAGTTGAATAAAGGGTTGAGGAGGACATTCTAAAGTCCAGCAGATACTCAGGCCCACTGCTGATAAGCATCTTCTTTCTTTGACCTTAAGAGTATAAATTTGGTACTTTTAAAATTTGTAATTTGACATGACACTGGGGCAAATGTACCTAAAATGCAAACTCTGGACTATTCCCATTAACAGTAGGTGGCTGTGGTAGTAAAGTAATGGACTTTGGAGACATAAAAACCTTTTTGTGACACAGTCCTCCTTCATTTGTTAGCCATGAGACTGGCTGTGTCAAATTACTACCCTAAGTCTCAGAGCGCACTATATAAAATGGAGATAATATATTTAAAGTTATGGTAAGGATTCAATATTTTTGCATGTTTTATTCAGTGTTGTAACTCCCAGTGGCTAGAACCATGTCTGGACCCTAGTAAAACTCAATAAATAATTATTGAATGAATGAAGGAATTAATGAATAATATATTAATTATGTACGCCTATGTTAGAAAATATAGGTGCTCAAAGCATTTGCTGAGTGGATTGCTTTTTTTCTGTAAAGCCTTATTAGCATTAAAAGAAAAAATAAAGCCAATTTAAGCACATTTAATATATTTGGAAAATAATATTCCAAAAGTCTAAAATTCCCATAAGATGGGGATGTAACTATTCTACATAAAATAACACTTATTTTCTCAGCTTTCTAAATATGTACTTGATTAAATTTGCTATATTCATTTTATGTAAAACCCCTGGCCAATTACCAGCCGAAGGTGACCATTATATTTTGTGATTCAGAAAGCTATGTGCCTCGTGTTAATAATTACTCTTTATAAAAATAATTTTTAGCGAAGGGATACGTTTTGCTTTTATGATCAATGAGGCTCAACACACGCCTGGGAGTGAAAGTGTATTAGATAAGAAGACAATTAATGATGACTTGAAGCGGTAATTTCAGAACCCCAGCAGGAGACTGTAGTATCTAAACTGCATTCTAGGGAAGTGAGGGAAATGGAATGGCTTATGTATTCTCTTCATGATCAGAACTTTTGATACAATATATCTTTAAAAATAGAGCAAACTTCGTTTTTCCTTCATTCCTTTCCTCCTTTCTTCCTTAATTCCTTTGTTCTTTCTTCCTTCCTTCTTTCTATCCCTTTTTTCTCCTTTCCTTCCTCCTTATCTTCCCTTTCTTTGTTCTTTTTCATAATTTCTACCATTCTTAAAAAAACAAAAAACCTAAAACATTAGGCTGTGAAAAGCCAGCAATCTGGCTCAGTGGAAGAACCACTAGCTTGGGAGACAGGGACCCCTGGCTCTGATCTCAACTTTGCCAATGACCTTCTTGATCACCTTGAACACGTCATTTTACCTCTCTGAGTTGCAGGTCCTAATCTGGTAAGCAAGGAGACTGTAGATAATTCTTAAGGATGTTCGCATGTCACAAATTCATTGTCTCTATGTCCATAACCATGGTCAGAATATCCCTAATAAGCTACTTGTCCTGTTACATTAATGATCACCTTCCTCCTTTTCACATCACTTCATCCCTGGAAGACACCTCTGAAAACGAATTAAGAGAAAGAGCGAAGAATGAGGGTGTACCTGGCGGAGCCACCATCCGCTGCCACTTCTGAAACAAGCAGGTCTTCAGGCAGTCTCGGGGACTGAGGTTGTAAGTTTTATGTCTCGACATCAGTTCCTGCATTGGCTCCAGTATTACACACAACTGCAAGAAGTTCAAAGACATTGGCATTTCACTACTTTATAATACTAATTACAATAGATAATGTTAACAGCTGGAATCAAGTAGACAGCCTTGAGGATACTTTTATTTCCCTGGTTTTGATTTTCTTTATATAAATGTTAGGAAAAATAAATATTACAAAAACTTGACTATATCTACTTAATTATCATTTATAATATGATATTACAGCTGAATGTGATTCACACAGATACACACATAGACACACACACACACACACACACATACACACACACACACACACACACTCCTGTACAGACAATGGGGTGGATATATGTAGCTCTATTCTGAATTCAAATAACTCTCTCTGGTTGAAAACACAAAACAAAACAAAAACGAACAAACAAACAAAAAACCCTCTTCTTTCAGCATGCTTCGATTTCTACTCTGGTTTCTGTTCTTGTTTGTATAAGCACACGCTGTGAGTTACAATGCTAGTTTATGCAGATTGGTAGTGAAATTCATCTTTTAAACTGGAGAACAGAGTGGAAACTCCAGGCACTTTTTGATCTTAACTCTTAGAAAGGTGGATGGTGAATGCTATTTTATTTTTATTCATGTACTCATCTGTATTTTATACATGACGATACTGTAAATAACATATGTCAACATTCAATGTGGGAGGATTTTTTTTTGTGGTTCTGCATACAGCCACCTTGTTCCTTCCTTTGGTTAGATTTTTTTCAGCCTTACTTTGGTCTAAGACGTCTGATGACAAAGATTAATGAGGAAAACAAGAAGATAAAACCATTTAGGATTGCCTTGGACTTTTCCGATTTCCTTCTCAACTGGAAGCTTATCAGAATACCACTGCATTGACAGTACTATACCTATGAGGACAGAGACCACAATTTGGAATTGTACATTGATCACTATTGCAATTACAATGATATAAATATTGGCCATGCACCTTCTTCTGCGAAAAAGCATCACCTTATTATGAAAGACAGATGTGCAGTCTTCGGCATCATCAGCCTACCTTCCTTTTTAGCCTCTCTTCTTATGCCATCCCTCATCTTGAACATGTCTCTAGAGGCCACTCTGCTTTTGGTCCTCTGAGCTCTCTCTACCTGAAATTCTTCTCTCCCCTCCTCTTGGAGAATACTCACTCATCCTTGAAGACATAGTTACTTCTTCTGTTAAGCCTTCCTCCCAGATGTGCACCTGTTCCCACACAGGCTGAGCTGGGTGCCTCTCTCCAGTTCTCCACAGCACCCAGCTCCTTCTGCTGTATGGACTCACTCATTCATGCTATGAAACCATCTGCTTCTAAGTCTGCCTTTACCACTAGGCCATGAATGCTTCGAAGGCTGAGACTCCTTTTATTTCTGTGTTCCTAGTTTAACTCAAATGAGTAGATGCATTTAAAGAGTGATTCTTAGAAAATCTGGAGGATCTTCCTATGCCGATGTTTCTCGAAGTGTGGTCTAAGAAACATTTCCATCAGAATCAAATGGGCTGACTGTTAAAAGTTCAGATTTTGGGGCTATGCCACTTCTGTTTCATTGGGCCTTGAGGTGGGGTTCCAAATCTACATACTCCTGTTGGGGCTCAGAAAATGATACCCCCAAATGAAGGCCTCTGTATAAAGCAAAGTTTGTCTTCTACTTTCTCCTGCCCTACTGTCTCCTGCCCCTTATTCTCCCCCACAGCAAGCCATATAAACTAGAATGCCTCTTCCCCAAGGAAGATCGCAGAAACCAGAACCTATCCCTGCTAAAGGTAGACATAAAATCTAAACATATTATTCTAACTTCCCTCTGCCTTTCTGTATAAGAGCTGACCATAAAGAAATTCTGTGATCCGCTTTGGAAGTAGGTCATAAGACCCCCATTCCAGCAAGGATCCTGTCCCATACCCAGGAGGAAGGAGTGCTGAGCGGAGAGACAAAGAAGAATCTGAACAGACAGGCTTTGCTGGGTTTCCCTACTCAGTTATTCCCATTAGAGAGTACTATACCTGCATTGAGAGTACTATACCTGAGTACTATACCTATACATTGAGAGTAATATACTGTGACCATTAGGTCATACTCTTTTTGTCCAATCACAGTCCATCGCAATTGTGCATTCCTCATGTAGCCTAAACATAAAAATGAGTCATTTTTCCTGTATCTTTGGGTCTTCATTCTGAAGTCTCCTGTGTCTTGTAAAACTTTGCTTCAATAAATATGTTACACTTTTCTCTTGTTAATTTGTCTTTTGTTATAGGAGTGACCCTTACGATAGGTAAGAAAAGGAATCACATTTTTGTATCCCTATGCCCTCACATAATTCTGACAAACACAACTAGAATTTGTGGTCCACTAACCTATATATCCAGGGCTTTCAAATAGATAATAGAGACAGCAAGACATGCACAAACCCCAGTGGTGTCCAGTTCTAAGTCCATTCTCTTCTCATTTCTTCCCATTTTCTCAAGTTCTCTTCCTTCCTTCTTAAGTCTAAGGATGATAATTATCTTTACCTAGAAAGATTCTTCAGTTGTTTGTACCTATTACTGACCTAAGCTTGCTTAAACCACTTGCCCCATTTAAGGGTCAGCTGTACTTTTCTTACATTTGCAATTTCTCTGGAAGACAGTAAGATTTCAAAGCCTGAACAACACAAGGAATATGCACATCAAAGGGACCAAGACACCAACCCTACTAAACCAGGCTGTAAAGTAATGAGACCTGGGTTAGTAATGTTGGGTCTTCAGTCTTGCTTACTTTGATGTCCTTTTTGAAGTCTAGAGTGTTAATATGGAAAAACCTGTGAAAAAGGCAAGGTTACTATACAGCTAACTCCATATTCCAACATCATGAAGACTCTATGTGTGCATTCCTCTGTTAAGAATTCCTTGCTGATCTCACTACAGGGTATATCCTCAAATGAAAACAAATCCTTCTACCAAAAGGACACCTTCACTCATGTTCATTGCAGTACCACTCACAATAGCGACGACATGGAATCAAGCCCATCAGTGGTGGACTGGATAAAGGAATAAAGAAAATGTAGGTGACACCACTCAACCATGGTAGAATACTACAACAGGTCCACGGAAAAAGAACAAAAGATCATGTTCCTCTGTAGTAACATGGATCATGTTCTTAGCATGGATCCGATTTATCCTAAGTGACTTAACACAAAAACAGAAAACCAAATACTGCATATTCTCACTTAGAGAGCTAAACATTGGGTACATATGGGCACAAAGATGGGAACAATGACACTGGGCACTCCAAAAGCAGGAGGGAACGTTGAAAAACTACCTATCAGGTAGTAAGTTCACTATCTGAGTGACAGTATCAATAGAAGCCCAAACCTCAGCATCACGTAACATGCCCGTGTAACAAACCTGCTCATGTACCTCCTGAATCTAAAATAAAAATTGTAAAAAGGATGCTTTGCTACAAATAAAAGTGTAAGTTACAGACTACTTCATTGCCTTTCCAAGCCATTAATGCTCACCAGACCAAAAGGAGTGAAAGATTCCACAATTATCTATGCAAGTAGATTTAAGAGTGGGTCATCCCTCAAAGAAGTACCACTGCTAGATCCACACAGGTTCAGAAGATATTTGCTTCTATTATTAAGCAAGAATGGTAAGAAAAACTTCAGAGAAATCCTAAAGACTGGGAAACATTTTACAGTATATTTTTTAGTATTTAAAACAGTTAAAAATGTTTTCAGCATTTTCAAATTATTTACATTTGGTTCATTTACCACTCATTGTAAATGAGCTTACACTGGAGATAAAATACATGGATGGAGTGGAACAAACATGGATCTACAAGCTAAGAAGTCTAGGTATGGATTTTGACTGTCACTAGGTATGCATCCTCGGGTAAGTTATTTAAAAACACTGGGTTTCAGTTTTACCTGCAAAACAATACCCATCTTATATACTGTTGTGAGAATTTGAGTTAATATGTCTAATGCATGACTATTTAATAATCTGTAGATATTATGATTATATATTAGCAAGCATGCATAGGTTGCAATACAAACTACATTCCTATTACTTCACATCAACAAACATTTACTGAGCTTCCTCCCAAGTATCAAGCATTCTGCTTGGTGCTGGGGACACAAAAATGAGAATAACACAATCTCTGCCCTTAGAGGTAATCCTTAAAATTGCTTTAATTATATTAAGAAAACTATCCTGCCTTAGGAAATCACATTCTTCCAAAGCAAGTATTTTTCATTGTACGACAAGGTAGATGGTGGGGGTGACCCGTTTGGACCTAGAAAGGACTATTAGCATTGGGCATGCTATGAAATGGGAGGGTTACACTTATTGTGGGGACTCTTGAGCTCACTGTCTTTTCCTTTTTTGCAGTGACTTTCCTCTCTGGGCTTTCAGCAACATTTCTTTTTCAGGTGCTAATCCTCAAAATTTATCCCTTTCCCTTTAATGTAAAAATATCTTTCCATCGCTGTAACCCACCCCAAAGGAGCCTGCATCTCTGAATGCTAATCAAGAATCCCCAGTCATTTTTCTTCCAGTGGAGAGTCTGGGGCTGGAGAGGCAGCCCTCCCCTTATTCATGTATGCAAATGAGGTTTCTTCTCTGCTGCAAGCATGCAATGGCTTTGCTGGGCTGTGTGCTGTAGGTGGCAGAACTAACTCAGATAAGAGCCTGTCTTCTTTGGCAGTAAGCCAGCGCATCTTGGCAACAGCAAAGGCCTGGGGCATTATGAAATGAAATCAGGAAGCAGGTTTGGGGAGTGGGTTCCCTTAGTCGCTAGTCAAATCTTTTGGGAGCTGCCGTTCCTACTCTCCCTGAGGTCTGAGACCCTCATGAGAATCCGGTGAAGGCTATGCAGCCTGTCTTTCAAATTTTGTACAAAATTTCTGGTGGTTGTTGAATCCTCTATAGCCCCTTCCATCGACTCTAGGAAGAGTCCCCTGTTTGTAATAAGTATGAGCCAGGTTACAAGATATATGCCTTTTCCTCATTACCCCACTCCATATTCA